TCTATGATGTAGTGTTTCAAAATAGTACTTTGGACCTTGTACTGATGTGGACAGGATAAGCGAAACTCTGAAAATGAAGTTGTAATGGTGACAATTGCTGCACCAGTGACATTATTTGTTTTAGCGGAAGTGGCCATGGCAATAACATACAAGCGAGCTTTAAAATTACATAAAAAGAAAACCATTTAGCTATAGTTACATATGAACGCATTAACATAGATACAATGATTATGCTTATATCGTACATATATTTGTATGTTAAATGCATTTTTCTATGACAAAAGATAACTAATTTCCTAAAAGCACTGGTTTTGTCCTGTTTTCAACTGCAAGTGGATTGCTCTGGATACGGAGATTGTCACCTAAGTTTTTTTTTCGCATTTATGAATGTAATAAAAGCATAAGTAAGATTTGGCTTAATCGATACTTAAATAATGTTTATACCCAATAATTAAAAAACAGATGAAAACAGCTTTACAATAGGAATCGCATTTTTATATGGTCACTCTCTGGTATAAATCTATATAGATCTATACAATGGTTGGTATGTTTCAAATAGATGAAAGTGTTCTCATCTTAACAATGGAGTATCCCGATTGTTATATATTTAGTATAATTTAGTATAGCTATAATAAATTATAATAATATTACTATTATTATATATAACTACTAGCTGACCCGGCGACCGTTGTTTCCCCTTGCAATTAATTTTCCTGGCTCAGCTGAGTTATAGTATTTGTTGTTATTCAACTTAACCTTTAACATTTTAATGCTAAAATTATTTTGAATTGATTTTTTCTTTTGAACTACAAAAAGTCCACATGCATTACTTATGTTACAAATATTTTCATGTTACTTCAAATCCTTATAAGCACTACATTTTACATGACAAAAGGTTTTTTTTAATATTATATTAACAGTTTTATTATGGGCTATAATGTTAACTTAAAGCTAAATCATGAACAATATTTTTGTTGGGCCATTTTGTACGTATATATATAGATCAGAAGGCTTAGCTTGAATTTTGAAATTAATTTCATCGACATCTAAGTTCTTGGCAGCCAGAATCGCTCTACTTTGAAGCCATTGATGGTTCTGATAATTTTGATATATGTTAGGAAATACGTTTTCTATTAACTCCTCTTCCGAATTAACAATTTTATAACCATTTTCTGGCAATTTAATAAAGTGCGTATTTT